GATGGGCGGATTGCTCGAGGTCAGGAGTTCAAAACCAGCCTGAGCGAGACCTCGTCTCTACTAAAAATAGAAATTAATTGACCAACTAAAAATATATATAGAAAAAATTAGCTGGGCATGGTGGCGCATGCCTGTAGTTCCAGCTACTCGGGAGGCTAAGGCAGCAGGATTGCACTTTTCCTCTTTTGTTTTTATTTATTTATTATATTTTATTTTGAGACAGAAGTCTCGCTTTGTTGCCCAGGCTAGAGTGAGTGCCGTGGGTCACCCTAGCTCACAGCAACCTCAAAACTCCTGGGCTCAAGCGATCCTGCGCCTCAGCCTCCCGAGTAGCTGGACTGCAGGCATGCACCACCATGCCTGGCTTTTTTATCTATATATTTTTAGTTGGCCAATTAATTTCTTTCTATTTATAGTAGAGTCGGGGTCTCGCTCTTGCTCAGGCTGGTTTCGAACTCCTGACCTTGAGCAATCCACCCATCTCAGCCTCCCAGAGTGCTAGGATTACAGGCGTGAGCCACTGCGCCCGGCTGCCTTTCTTCTTTTTAAGACCCCTTTAAACATCAACCCTTCCATGAAGACTCCACTATTGTACTCGCCCTGTTTTTAGAATTTCATTTTCATTGTTCCACCCATTATTTATGCATATCCCTAGCATATAATGAATATTGTGTGTGTGTGTGTGTGTGTTGGTGGGTGTGTGTTGGTTGTGTGTATATATATATATATATATTATTAGTATCAATAAGTTTGAGTCCAGGGATCATGGGAAAAAGTAATTCCCACTTGGTTTCCCCAGCACTACCTAAGCATACACTAGACATTTTTTTTTAAGAGAGTAAAGCAGCTTATCAATACCTAACTTTAAATGCTTCAAAGAAATATTTAATAATTGCCAAGGAATCATGGGCAGTTTAATATGATTGTTTTTCAGAAATTCGCTTTACAGCCACCCCAGAAGAAGAATTGTGAATGTATAAAGCTAGAAGATGTTCTATAAAGTGACTGGCTGGCCTTGGTCACTGGCAGCGGTATTATCTGTTCTCTCCGAGAACATCTTCCAAAAGAAAACAAACAAAATAATCATCCAACTATCGAAACTTCAAGTCTCCATTCTATGCTTGGGTAAAGGATGTTAAGGCACCCACTCAGGGCAGCAGACCACCTCTGGTGTTATATTCTTTGCCGTCAGGCCTCGGACCAATATGTCACCTCCTCTGGGACTTCTGTCCAACCTAATCTTTGCAAAGCAGTCTCCTTCCCACAAGCACTGAGACTACCTGAAATACCTGGAGTTATAACTTACTGTGTTCTCCCTTACCTCCTAAGCTTTTGATCCATGAGAGGGGCAACAGCTGTGCCCTGTCTTGCTTTGGTCCCATAGTGGGGTAGAATAGTAACCTGTAACTATCCTGGAGTGGTAGGACTCAATAATCATTGCAGAAAGAAATAATACGTTATTCCAATTTAATCCTCATTTTTTAAAACCCTCAAGAAAAAAGTAAACCCTTAAGAGAGATATTACTCTCCCCCTTACAAGATGAGAAATTAAGACTCCAGAAGAAGGTTGGTAAATCCTAAGATCATGATATGTCTAAAAGCAAAAATGGTAGCCGTGATTGAGAATGTTGACTAATATTTAATTAATGCTTTGTTGGATGAACCGGCATGAATAAATTTCCAGTGTTCGATATTACATTCTGGCAAAAATAATAACACTGTCCTTTTCCATCAAGGTAAGAATACAACAAAATTCTGTATTGCCATACCAGGGTGTTTGGCAGGTGCTGGTCCTTTTTCTTTGCGTGATTCCCACCTTGGCTGTCAAGAGGAGTGGGGTTTATTTGTAGTCTGCAGTAATGATGGTAGGGGGGCTGCGCCCTGAAAATCCCCTCCTTTCATCAAGCCTAATTTGCAATGGTCCTAGTTTTTAATTAGCTTTTAATTGACTAGTGTAAAGGAAAGAGCCCATATCAGTGGATTCAATGGTATGTTCAGGGTAGGATGATGGAGTAAATAATGAAATCGTACTTATGTTATGCACATAGCTTGGAAGAGGACCAATTTTTTCTTGCTTCTGCCTTCTTTCTAATCTTAATTCAACTAAGGAATAAGCCGTCCACGCCACCAGCCTTCAGTGAACCTTTTAGCAGCGTAAACATGGTATGAAGATCAAAGTACCGGCCTTCCTCACTTAAAAAAACAAACAAAAATCTAAGAACACCTTCTGTAAGAGGGTTGGCTAACCTGTTGGCTTGGCGTTCTCTAGTTTGATTTCTTTACATTAGAATTGTCTGCTTTTAAATTTGAACATTTTCTGATCTTTTCTTCTGTTTTTCAGTTGCAGTTCCAGGTAGAAAAACAATATCCAGTGAAAAAGCATCAAGCGCTCCATCTGCTTGAGGCTCAAGAAAAGAATTTTGTGGATGACTCGAGTTGGGAGCGAGTTGGGTGAATGGGATTAAGCCGGATTATCCAGTTTTCTTGGAGAAACCCAAGTTGCACCAGGCCCAGTGGGGCTTGGGATTTTAGATGAACCTATTGGCAAAGAATGAGGCTCAGTGGCAGGAGTCGGTATTTCCAGTGCGAGCCTTTAAAGGCATATTTACCCGACCAATCAAAGTTAACAAGGAAAGGTGCAAGGAAAGATGAAGCAACCGGCCTTGCCAGACGACTCGGCTTCCAGAGCACTTCTCCTTTTTGTCCCATCTGCAGCCAGCCATGGTGTCCTCCTCCCTGGCCACTCCCTCAAATATCCCCATAAACCGTCCAACCAGCACAAAGGAACCCTTCAACTACATCTCAGATCAGTAACCTTTTACAAAACTTGAAGTGAATGTCTTACTCCAAACCTTTCAGAGCCTGGCTCAGCAAAAAGGAAAGAGAGCCCTCAAAATTGGAGCAGAGTTATTGGTAAAGTGGAGAAATGTCCTGAGGTCATTTGTTTGAATTGAGAAACAACCACCAATGAAGTGGTGAAATACTACACATGGGACCTCCTTTGGCTTCAGAATCTGTCTGAGGGGATGACTACTGCATTTTATAGATGAAGTTTAATGAGCTTTTCTAGTTCAGTTTATGTGTAATATATCGCACAAATTGAGAAAACTGCTATATAGTTTTTTGTATATAAGATTAGCACATAGATTCAATAGTCACCCTAGTTTTTACTACCCATTTAGCCAAAAAGAGAAGAATATCTGTTTATAATGTAAAATAAATTAAAGAAACCTTACTTGCAAAGCAAGATCAAAAATAGACTCTAGATGTGTTTTTAAAACTTCTGATTTTTTTTTCCTTATGGTTTTAGTTTGCTTTAAGGTAGATGTTGGGTGGATACGAAGATTGTGCTTCCCTTAAAATGTCTCGGAAAACTCAAGACGTTCAGGGGTATTCAGAATTTCTGGCCTTTTATTTTTATTTTTTTAATTTTTTTTTTTTTGAGACAGAGCTCGCTTTGTTGCGCAAAGGCAAAAGAAGTGAGTGCTGTGGCATCCAGCCCTAGTCACAGCAACCTCAAACTCCTGGGTTCCAAGCAACTCCTACCCTACTGCCTCAGCCTCCTGAGTGGCTGGGAACAATAGGCAGTGCGCCACCGAATGCCTGGCTGATTTTTTCTAATATATATTAGTCGCCAATTAATTCATTTATAGTCCAGAGAATGGGGTCTCGCTCCTTCCTCCGGCTGGTTTCGAACCTCCTGAACCTCCGAGCAATCTGCCCGCCTCAGCCTC